TTAATAAATATACTTGTATGAGTGAGTATATTATGCATCACTAAAAGGATTAACATGGATCGCTAAAAGGAAATTAACACATTTATGTAATAAGTATATGAAATCGATTTTCAAATCTTACTTAATGATATGAAATTCTTAATTTGAGAATCTCACGTAAAAGTATCAGCTCACTTTAAAGGTTTTAATTATAGTTTGACATAACGTATATGTCTACCTATTTAGATGGAAATTCTAAATTGCAATCTAAAATCTTTTTAAAGTTAATGTTAAAAAGTTTTATTAACTAGTGAAATATATAAGTAGGTATACCTAGATATTTCACTCCACTCTAATTTGATCAATTATTGTACAGTAATTTAAAATACTAAGTATTTGTATTGCAACATCTTTGATTGATGCCAAGATCAATTTACAAATAAGTACATAATCTATATATACATACTTATGTGCATTTGACTTTATATTCATAAGTATATCTATGGAAGCAGTAATTTTATTATAAAACATTATTGTAGAAGTATGCATTTATACTTGTTTTATATAAGTAATACCTATATTTAAAAAAGTTAATGAAAATTATATTATTACATTTTTTAGTCATAATACTGGTTTTTTTTTGTAAAAATTATAATTCATATTTGGATACCTATATATTATATGTATATATAATATAACTTTGTTTTATTTTTTTGTTTTTGCGGTTACCGCTAAATAATTTATGTACCTCCATATATCGGTGAGTATGTCGGTACCCACTTATATAACATTAAGTGTGTGTACATACATTTGTGATGCTATTCTACATCTGAGTCATACAAATATTTTCATTCTTTGGGGGTTATATTTAAAAAAAATATATACATATACTTATATTGTATATAATACGAAGAGGTTCTACTTACAAATTTATTAAATGATTTAATGAACAGCTAATAAATTCAGCAATTAATTCAGTGTCCGTGAGTTCATATGGTACCGTTTTCGTTAGTAAAATTTCATCTTTTTGAATTTGATTTGAAGATATTTTCTCTAAAAATAAGCGATATTCAATGAGTTCTTCACAAGACATCTTGTACAGTTCGTCCTTAAAATGTTTGGTGTGTAAGAAAATTCAATTTTTTCTTTTTTATAAAATAGTAGAAAAATATTTTTAAATGCCTTTGGTATGTAACAAATGCCAATAGAATTTGAAGTTCTCTTAATATTTTGCACTTAAAATATTTACAAATCTTATTTTTTAAAATAAAAATTGTACACAAAACATTTAATTCGAAATTTTTTTTTAAATAAATATAAAGAATATTAAATTTTTATAAAAGGAAAAAAAAATGTGAATGAAAATTTTTGATTCGCAATTAATCACCCACTTATTTTTAATAAACAACAAACAAGAATGAAAATAGAAAACTAAATCCTTTCAAAATCAGATGTTGATAAACTAACGCTTAAAAGCGCTATCTTTTGTAAATTTTATCAATTAACAATATGCTTTTTACGTTAAAAATTTTGCTATTGCCACATCTTCTTAAAAAACTGACTAAATTGAAATTGATTTTAGTACTGCCAGTGTATTTGAAAGAAATTAAATATTTAGCTAAATTATAGAGTATTGTAAAAGCAACATTAATAATTTTTACACATACTTCTCCTCGTCTTAAATTCATGCATTTTTAGTTTAAAATAACATGTCTTTTCTGCTTAAATAATGAGTCTGTTTGCAAAAAATCCAATTTAAAAATTTTAAATTTGGGTTATTATTCTAAACACGAATTAATCGAAATAGTTTACTTGCATGTGCAATAAATTTCTTGAATTCCGACAATTATTTCTTATACATTTAAACTGTACGAATAAAATAATATAATGTACTTAAAATCAACATGAGTTTGACATTAGCTGACAAGTATTATATTGTAATTTGTCATTTTGAATTTTTCAACCCGCGTAGATACAATCGATTTTCAAGTCAAACTAAAAATCTTTTCGGATCTACTTAACTTGAAAACTTGATCTACTTAACTTGAATTTCTATACCAATATTTCAACAATCGCTAGTATATATTACCGCAAAAATGTTGAAAATGTTTATTACAAAAGTTACGGTAAAATTCTGATAATCACACAAGTATAAAGATGAACAAGTTCCATTGAAGAAAAAAATAAATGTATACATACCATTTTAAAATGATGCTCTGTCGTTTTGAAAAATAATACACAAAAATAATGAATAATACACAAAAATTTAATAAAAAATAATAAACAAAATATACTAAATATACTCTCTAATTTGATACATAATTTCAATCTAAGACAGGAAAAAGTTTTTATCTTTCATCATTAACTCACAATCTTCGTCCATTTACCAAAAAACGTTTATTAATAACATATAAGTATAAACGAGGACTTATAAGGGTTTACAAAATGGATGACAGAATAGATTTACAAAATGGAAAGCCATTCTACCTAAAGTAATTGTGAAAGTCCTATTCCACACTATATAGTTGAATATTTGTTCAAAGAATTGAATCACTTAATCGTAGTGATATTTATCGTAAAGAAGATCGATTTTAATACCCAAAACACAAACCAATTTATATATTTCAGATTTGTGTCTTAAATAATTTTTTTATATGCATTTTTGGATAAATATATCACTTAGTGATTTGCTTCTCAAAATAAATCCTACATATTTTCAAACTTCAACAACTAAAATCGTGTACAATACTATAACTGCAAATTTAAATTTAATAAAAATAATAAAAACTATTGAGATCTTGTTAGTCAAGAATTTTAAAATATTATGGAACAATAGGAATAAGTACGTACATATATCATAAAAAAGGGTTAAATAAAAATAAAACACGAGTAGACACCAAACGAAGGAAATCATTATTGAAATTTTTAGATATTCCAGTCTTATGCAATTTTAACAAAATTGAAAGTACATAATTATTTTAAATTTCCGGTCATATTTTATTTTTGATTATTTCACTGTAAATTATCTATTAATATTATCTTTGGGATTCATGCGTTTCTATAAAATAATATTACACTTAAAAAGCCGTTGATATTGCACCTTTTTTAGGTAAAATATGTTTTACCTCTTTGTATGCAATTATAACAGATACCTATGTACATGATTTTTAGAATATATAAAATACTTACCAACTTTCTTCGCCCAAAAGCCTAGTTCTTGTGAATAAAATGCCAAATTCAATATAAATTTAATAGTATAAATGTGTCTGCCCGTCAAACGTTTTAACTTCAAAAAAAAAATGCAAATAATTAGTATAAGAACGTGGTCAGGATGATTTTAAAATTGGATAACATAAATCATTTTCTCCACTACGAATTCTACTTGTAGCAATAAAGTTCGTAGAAATTATGAAAGTCAAATAATTATATACAAATAAATAAATTCGGATTAAATTTTTAATATATTAAATAATAATCATGAATTTCAATCGCAATGCAAAAACATAAACCTAAAAACCTGAAAAAAATAATTTAAAAACCATTTTCCTTGCTTTTTTAACTTTTAAAAAAATTTCTTTAACATAAAAAAGGCATATTATATTTTTTAATTAAAAAATAAAAAGTTATTACTTTCAAAATTTGGGAAAATGCTGCTATCATAATCACTTAATAACTTCTTGAACATTTTGAAATTTTTATAACTTTTCGATAGTATCTTAACTATTGTTAAATAACTGTTGAAAGAAATTTACGAGCAGAGTTCATAATACAATGGTGCAATGCATATGTTTAAAAAACAAATTCTTCCATTAAACCAATTTAAAGAAAACAAATGATGATGACAATCAAGTTAGTGCAGATCTAGTACTTTTACCATTTTATTAAGTATAATGCAGATAATATATTTGAATAATATAAAACATGTACATAAAAAGTTACACATTTATTTAACTTTTTGAAAAAATAATCAAAAATTTATTTATTGCTGATTTTTTTACGTATAAATTCCAATTTTCTATGGTTTGGGAGTATAAAAATTCTTTACTTTATTAATTATCTAGACATGTTCTAATAACAGTAAAAGTTTATCTTTAGAATTTTATTAAAAAACTTTTCGTTTATTGTATTTTAGGAGAAAAATAATTTGCTGAACAGCCTTGCTTTACATATTAATTTTCGAGAAATTATTATTCTTTAAGAATTCTTTAAAATTGATTTCTTGAAGTAATAATAAATGGGTATTATACAAATAGTGTCATTAAAGATGTATGTATTAAATATTTAGAATTCTGTTAGATACATGGAGTTTTTATTTTTTTATTCGAAAGATTGAGATTTGAAATTATAATATTCAACAATTTGTAATAAATTTCGTGGAACTGCCTCATTAAAATGCGCTAGAGGATTGCATTTGCAAAGAAATTCGTTTCAGAATGTAAAATTTTTATAATTTTATGAAAATTTAGAGTAATAGTAGAATTATAGTTAAAGAATGTGAAAATTTTAGAATGAAAATAATGTGCTAAATAAAATATTATATAACATGAGATCATAATAGAACAAAAAAATTAAATCTAGAGTTTTAACATAATATTTAATTTTTTCTATATAATTATTTATATTATGTTGAATATTATTTGTTGTACACAATTAAAATAAAAATTAACTTTAACTTTAATTTATGACAAAATTTTTTAACACAAATTCTAAAGATACATACTTACTACGAAATGCTAAATCTAATTAAAAAATATATGTACACGGATATATTGTTCCTAAAATTATTTTTATATTTTTGTATTAATTTGCAACATGTTTTAAATAACAAATTTTTAATGTTTTATAATATTTTTATTATTTTATTAGCTTAAAAATAACATAATTTTAGGTTTTTATGAGAAAATTAGATCGAGATGAGTAAAAATAAAAATATTACAAGGTAAGTTTTATCTTTATTTTGATTATTTTGTTTGTACATATGCACTTGTCCACAAAAAAAAAAAAAAAAAAAAAAACCCATATAAATAAAATATAAAATTGTTTTAAGCCTATTAAATCTTCTAAACCTATAAGCACTGAAATGGAAGTACGAATTTTTTTCATTTGCAATAATTATTGTATTTATAATGACATGAAGATGATAAACTTATAACTTGAGGAATATTGCAAAAGCGTTTTTATTTTCTTTAGTTTAATAGGATTTACATGCCGTATTTAATTAAATCTGAATTTGTTTTTATGTAAAATAATCCAACCTAGTGAAAATTAAATATAGGTTATCCTAACAATTTTATTAAGAAAAAAATTAAATAAAAGCCTATATCATACACATTCCAAGAGTATAAACAAATCCACAGTCTTTTTGTTTTTTATGAATGAAATTTTATTTTTAGCAAAAACATTTATTTTGGTAAGCAAAATAAAATTTCTTTTATTTGGAAGTAAATTGTCGGTCAACAAATTTGTTCAATATATATCCAAAGTAGATATAATTATTTGAAACAATAAATTCTTATTTTAATAAAGGTTTTACCATTATTCTGATTTAATTCCAAATTACAGTCAAACTAATATTGTTTGCTTCCATCAATAATCTTTCTGAGCAATGAAATATTATATTAAATTTCATACAGACATACAATATAATAATAGTATCATAAAATTTAAATTTACTTAAGGTATTATAAAACAGAATTTATTTTGTTGTATACAATTTACGAGATGATTTCTTACATCAAATTTAATATGTAAGTACACGTTAGATATCCTTCGCACATGTAGTGTGCATTTCGTACGCATAAAGCAGTATTTTACCAAACCGTGTATTGTATGAAAATCAAATTTGAATACGTATTTATACATATTAAGACTCTATTCCATTTTATAATTTGTTCAAAAAATTAATTGACTCAAATAATTATATTCTTCCCTGAATATACTTTAATACATACTTACAGTTAAGTATAATATCAAATTTGAAGGTGAAAGTATTAAGATCTCTTTTTTAATTATACAATTATAAAATAAGCTGCTTTTTTCTTTTTAATTATTTTTCTATGTTCGCCGAATTAGTTCTTGATGTTTTTTTTTTTTTTGTTTTAAAAAAGTGTAATAAATTTATTATTGATTTTTATAATTTTATTATTAGTTTTTAAATTTTGATATGGTTGTTTTTTATAAAACACGTTTTAATATTTCGCCAACTTCAATTAATATTTTTGGTTACATTTTTGATTATACCTACTATATTTAGCATTTTAAAGAACAGTATTACTAAAATGGTTTTTTTTTTGCTCTTTTTTTATTTTTCAAGTTTACTTAAATTTGCTTTTCAATTATTACTTTAATTCTAATTTTAAATCAAATTGCGGTGTATTATTTAACGTAAATTTATTTTTTATTATTTCATTCTTATATTTGCCTATCAATTCCTTCATTATTATCATTTGAATGTGCATTCGGATCAGTTGTTGATGAAGACATATTATCTGATTTTTCAAGTTGCTGTTGAATTGAATCGTTAGTTGTCAATACGGATGATGTTGTTGTTTGATTGTTAAATTCAACTTGGGAACTGCTTACCGGTGTTTTAGAATCAGCAACAATCCAACCACGTTCAGGACCTAAAGCGAACAAATGACGTAGTAAAATTTTTAAAAATGAATAATATTTACGTTTTTTTTTTTTTAATTTGTAATTGATTTACTAAATACAAAACAAAATAAAACAAAATAAAAATAACAATAATAAAATACGAGTAATCAAAAAATTACATTATACAAAATAGTTTATAATGTTGAAGCAAATTACGTAAACCTTGTTCCATTGTGACAGTGTAATATGTAAGGGTTTTAAAATTACAAAAAATATAAATATGTAGTATTTTAATTTCAATTATGTTGATGATAATTAAAAAGTGACCTTGACGAATAATTAGATTTTTCAAGTAAATTATAAATTTAACTGAGGTTATTAAAATCAAATTCACAATTTTTATTATTTGTTTCTCAATACTTTAAGTGAGTCCATTTTAAGTCTGGCTTGCAAACGAATATGTAAAACTAATACGGATAATTGATGTAAAATTTGCTGAAATATCTGCGACTTAATATATATTATATTGACTGAATGGCATTTAAAATAATAAAATTGTCCTAAAAAAAACAGCAGTTTTCCCAAATGATTTTATTTTAAAATTACAATAGCAATTGTTACCTGATAACCCATATTTTAATTACCTATTTTTTTAATTATATATAAAAGATAGTAAACGATTATCAAAATATAGTTATAATATGGCAGAGATAAATTTCACAGCATAGATAAGAATATTCAAACAGTTATTCGGTTGTCAATTCAATACGAATGTTTATTTAATTTCAAATATTTTATTTCAATGTGTTAAATATTTTATTATTTTTAAATAACAAAAATAAAAATTTAAATAATTAAAATTCATATTAAATAAAATCATAAAGTGAAAAATTGTGCGAGGCAAGGAAAAACAAGGGAAAACCTTAAAAAGTTGGTAAAACAAATAAAACTAAACCAAAAATAAAAACAAAATTATTATTTTTTTAGCGTTTCTGTTTTCGTTTTATTTGATTTGTTTAACATGTTTGTTTAATAATTCTTTTTATATCTTTATACCTTGTATAAAAACAAAAATAGATTTTCATTCCTTTTTTTTTAATTATTTCCTAATTTCTACAAATTTAATATGATTTATAATTCTTTTATAATTTTTTCTTTTTAAATAAAAAGTAATAAATAATATTTTTTTTTACAATTATTTTAAAATAATAATAGTAAGAATAGTAAAATTATTGTATATGTGATATTACAGTTGATTTTATTTTAATTTTTGCTTCGATTATATTGTATATATACGTATATTTAGTATATTTACGTCTATATCATATTTTTTTTATAAACATATATACATGTATATTGAACATATACTTATATATACATATATAAGTAATTGAAATTCGCATAAATTTATATATTCTAAATTTTTTTATTTTTTTCATTTTTTAATGGTTGTTTTTTTTTACAGTGACTACATACCGGACTGTAAGTGTTTCGTGCTATCACTAGTTAATTGCGGATGTAAAGCACTAATATGTAATTGATGTTGTTTAGCAAAACTACTTCTTAAAGTATCTTCAATCAGGGCAGCTATTTTTTCACGGTCATTCTGAAATTCATAAATATATAAAAACACAATTAATTAAAAAATTGCTGCGCAAACAATTTGATTAGTATATAAATTAATGTATTATACTTGTACAAATTTGAATAAAACATAAGAAAGCCAAAAATATGAAAATAAAACGTTCACTGCAGTGTATAGAAAAATATAATATATTCTTTGCGGTGGGATAAAAGTATTTTTTCCCTACAATATTAAAATGTTTTAACAAAACAAGTAAATTTTTTAACATCTCGAATAAGAAATTGCAGAAATTTTGGAAAATGATAGCAATATTCATATCTTAAAACTTAATAGTTTTTATATCGTTTTTTAATATTAAATAATACAATGCAAAAAAATATATATATCTTATTACCTCATGTATAAAACCTAAATGGACTAATTCATGTGATAATAAATTAGCGGAATCATCCTGTGATACTTGACAGGTCAACTGTCGATTCATTTTATCATCCATTCGTAATAATATCGTCATCTACAATAAAATTAAAAACAAAATATAAGGATTAATAAAATTAAAAATTATAATTTAAATCAAAAAAAATTTTTCTAGTTTTAAAAATTACTAATAGGTCACAGCTATCTTCTCTTGTCTTAACACTACACATCATATTTACAACTCTACGTGCTTCAATATCAACCGGTTCGGGTGTAACCGATTTTATTGATTCGGCAGTCTCTGGCGATAAAGCTCTAGGCCTTATAAATGGTGTATTGGTGACAGCAAAAGCTGTCAAAGGGAAAATGCCATTTCTATAAATATATAAATTTTTTTCCTATTTAATATTTTCCCTGTTCTGAAAGTTTATTTAACAACTTAACGTACCTGACATCTTCAACAAACTTCTCTAATTTTTCAGCTGACGGTACGTCACTAAATGAATATGCGACGACTTTATTATTTTTAGTTAAATGAGCCAAAACAATACCTGGTAAACGTTGCAACAGTTCGTCAATTATTGTTTCAGAAAAATGTGCTGAAAATTATATTTTTTTAATAATAAAATTTAGATCTAAAAAAATGTGTGTAAAGTTGATTTAAAAAATTTAAAGGACATAAATAAAAAATTAAAAAATTGCAATTTTATTATAACTTTTACATTTTAAAAAACTGCTTTACTTACTTCTATTAGCTGGTGAATTGACAAGACAATTAGCAGCTAGCAATTTTAAAGAGTGCACTTCAAATAATAATGGATGAAATAATAACTCTCGAGCACTTGGGCGTTTTCTTGGATTGGGATTCAGGCACTTAAGAATGAAGTCCCTTTGTTTCTCGTCTTCCAAGCTATCTATAGTTCGAAGAACGTCACCTTCTGTAACTAATTTGCCATAATCACTATTACCATGAATTTCTAATGCACCCATTTCTAAAGCACACATGCCAAATGAAAATATGTCAACGGCAGGTGATACTAAAGAACCTTTATTTGGAACAAAAGTAAAAAAAAAAAATATTTTTAAAAATTGAAACCGAAAATTTTTAGACTAACAATGAAAAAAATGTTAAAGTAATTTTTTTACTTACTTCCATATTCTGGAGCTAAAAAGTGCATATTTCTTATATTTTCCCTACATGATTTAACACGGTGATGAAATGAATCAGGGGCTACATTACCAATTTTAACTAAACCGTTATGTTGAATAAATATTGTATCACAGGTTAAATTGCCATGAACTATTGGCGGCGAAGCGGAATGCAAGTAACTAAAATAAAAAAAATTATTGTTTATTAATTTTAATATTTGTTTATGTTATAAATAAAAAAATTTAAACTGTAATGATTATTTCCCAAACACATAATTTTTATAAAACTATTGAACATGATAGAGCAACAAAAAACCAAAAAAAAAAAATACCAAAGCTAGTTAATATTTTCTAAAAAAGATCATATTATAATAAATAAAATAAAACGAAGTATTTTTCTAAATTATTCTTTGTGAAAACTAAATTTTCCTAAATTGAAAGTCTAGTAGCTTTAGGCCAAATAAGAAGCGTTTAAATATTTGACGTTTACTTATTGATTTTGTAGAAATTAAAATTTAAGTTGAAAAAACTTATTAATTTTTTTATTCTTATGAAATAATTATGATTAAATATGCATATGGGAGATAGATTAGTACTAAATTGACAAAATGCTTCTTTTTTGTTCTTTAATTGAAGTTCTGTTGAAGAACACGTGTACATTGCGAAAATTGGTATAAGTTTTTTAGTATCTTAAATATTTTATAATAATATAAATGATTAATTTTGGTTTAAGAACGAAATAAGAGACTAAAGTGTCAATGTTAAAAATTCAATATTAAATGAAATTTGAGTTGATTTTAACTAAAATAAAAAAAATTTAACGTTTAATTATGTTTAATTAACATTTTTAATAGTTACCTTAGTGCTGATAAAATTTGTTTACACCATCTTTTCCAGGCATGCATAGGCAGTCGTTTAACATTACGTTTAGTTCGTTTAAGGAACTGTTTTAATGAACCTGATGACATATATTCTGTTATAAATATAATCTGAAATTATATCAAAAAAACATTTAAATATTTAAAAAAAAAATTATGTTTATTTAAATTATATTAGACGATATTTTTTAATTTTTCTATATGGAAATGCTATTATAATTTGTTTGTGACACAATAAACTGTAAATACGTTTAAAATATCAAAATTTTAAGTTTTTAAACATTTAAAATTTTGGATAATTTACTATCCTGCCAATAATTTACTCCCATTACTAATGAAATGGGAGTATTACGAAACTTTGGTTTAAATTAAGATTTCTCAAAAAGAAATTTATTTTTTTGATTTAAAACTATAAACTTTTTGCATATGCAGTCATATACGGAACAGCTTACCCTAGGTTTATCATTATGAGTATCAGTCCAATAACGATGAAATATTACTATATTTGGGTGATCTAATTGTGTTGAAATGTCAAATACTTCTTCTATCTTTTCTATTTGATATTTAAAACTTTTTTTTTCAGAAAAATGCACTTCATTCCATACAACTTCAACACCCTCTTCAGTGTCCATAGCTAAGTGTGCACATTCAATACCAGGCACTTCACGTTGGTCAACCTCTTCACGTCTTTTAAGCCATCTGCCACATGGACTTTCTTCCAATATTTCACTTTCATCTTCAGAATCTTCCCCACTTTCCCTTGGTGATCTATTTGAGGCGGGATCCGTTGCACCAAATCGGTCTCCCGGCATTATTGCCGTTATAAGCCACTTTTTAAAAGTATTTGTTTGATTCCTGTTTTGCTTTCTTTGTTATTTTTTTTAAAAAAGTTGAATTTTAACAAATTGTTGTAGTTCTGCAAGTAAACAAAGAAAAAAATAAAAATTTAATACAAATAATCAAAATATAATTTTTTCATTTAAGTAAATGATTCAAAATAAATAAAATATTGAATTTCATATCATTGTTCTGTTTTTTTATCTTAAATTCTTAGAATATGCTTATATTAAATGAGAATGTATATACAATTCGAAATACCATTTTGCCGTTCAAAGTGTTTTTCTAAAACATGTAAGTCAGGAATATTTATAATTATACATATATGTATATGTGTACATTCATATACAATATAAAAGAATTTATAAAATTTAATATAAAATTTTTAATATTTTGAGTTTTTTAACAGCTTACCTAAAATCATTTTATTTTCTATATAAATTTTTGGATAAAGGATTTCATTTACAAACTTCTGAGTTAATATTTGTCGTACGTTTTAAATTCAATATTAATATTTTATTAAAATTTGTTTTAAATGATAATAATACGGAAAAAGTAAAACTAATTTGTTTGGCATTCACTTTGTTTTTTGCTAATTTAAGTAGTAAAAAATTATATTTGATTAAGATTACATGACAATATAGATAATCGATTCTGATAATCGATTATTAAATAACAAATTTTATAATCGATTTTCATCTTTAAGGAAAAGAGTAAGAAAAACCCTTATTATGTACGCACACACATAAGTAGGCCTATGAAATAGATATTGTGAATAATATGATCAAGCCCAAAGTACATAACTATTCACAATATTTTGTTATTAATTCACATAAATAAATCGAAGAAAATTTTTAATAAAATATCTACATATTTAGAAAAATTTATTTTAATTAGTTAATTGAAATTTAGAATGAAAAATTTTAATTTTAATTTATTTTTAATTTATACTTAAGCAATTTTGTATTTGACCTTTACAAACAAGTTGAAAAAAATTTCTTTTATCGGTGTTTTTTTTTTACAACTTTTTTAACTGCAAAATTTTTAAAACATTTCTTATAACCATAATCTTTTTTTTTTTTTATAATACAAGATTCATCATTTAATCGTATAAGTATTTGATTATATACTAATGTCAACGCATATCTTCAACAATATATGCTTTAAAATACATACATATTACGTACATCTATAAGTGTACAAAAATATATTTGTATTTTGTATAAATTAACACATAACCCAGAGGAAGAGTAACTAAGGGTATAAGTATATAAAATATTCAATTTAATGTACATTATAACTATATGGGTATAGACAGATAACTATGTACATAATATATTATTTTCTATTTATAGAATAAGTTCAGATACAGTAAGTATAATGCAATTTTAAAGCTGAACGTCTCCTTCAATATTCTTTGAATTTTTATTTGGTTATTTTCAAAATGATGAAGAAATAAAGGAAAAAAAAAATTATACATAATAAGAATTGATAAAAAGTATGAAAACGGAGGATATGATTATCTATAGGCTTATTTTTGTCGTATACATATGCATGCATATTGTGTAGATACATATGTATGGGTAATATAGATACGTGGAATGTTATTCACTGTCATTTTAGTTCAGGAATTTAACACTTTTTTAGTATTATGGGCCAAGTGATCTTCTTATACCCGCGAACGCTATAGTATTCACTTCATTTTGCATCACTATAAAAATTAATGCTATATAGCATTCGCGTCCACGAACATGTTAAGCATTTTGCAATAGTACTTTGAAATAGTTAAAATATTTTTTTATAAAAATTTTAAAAATATTGACGGACTGTAAATTTTATATGGTAGTTCATGAGGCCCGTGGATAATCTGCTTTGCATGCCTTCTATTGGTTTTTTTTGTTGTTCTCTACTTTCCTTTTACGAAACTATCAATATTTTATAAACCTAAGTCATTTTTAAGTTAATTGAAATTTTACATGCATAATACATACAAATTTATTATCAATGTATATATGTATGTACGTATGCGTTACACAGCTTGTTTTTTATAATAAGATTTCTTTATTAATTCATTCTTAAGCAGTAACGTATTCCGAAGGCATCGATCGACATTTTTACTATAATCTGAGGTCATATTCATTTTAAACAATAATAGATGGCTTAAATTGCTTAATTTATACGAATGCCATGTTCATTTTTATTAATCTCAATGTAAGAAAAATGAAAATTTGGACATTAAGAGTTATAAAGAGAGTTTAAAAAGACATTAACATAATACATACACAATTGTCTTGTACTATTAGAATAAGAAGTAATATTAAAATTTATTTTAGTAAATTTTGACAGAATTATATGGTGAGCCCTACATAAAAGAAAAATGAGAGCAGAAAAATTAATGTCGAAAGCAAATGATTTTGTACATTATAGAGTTTTTAATAATTTTAGTGAAAAAAACGAAAAGCAAAATGCGCAGACTTTAATAAAACGTAAAATCGTTAAATTTATTGTGGCTAACAATATTGTTTATTTAAAATTTTTATTAATAAATTATCTTAATATTTTTTATTTTCTTTGTTAAATAAAATAGAGATAAAACTTTACATATATGCAATTGTATACAATATACATGTGTACATATGTAATAATAAAACCACATTATTCTATTATCAAATTCGAATTGTTGATTTTTATGCAAATTAAACATTAGTTTTATAACACTATTACAATCTGGCTAAAATTATTCTATGTATATATTATTCAAGAACACTTAACATTTATAAAATTACATTTAATCAAACATAATGTACATAAATTTATGAATGTATATGTACATTTATATGTATATAAAGTACAAATTTAATGCATCATGATTTGTAAAATTTTAACAATAACTATACTTAGTTAATAAAATTTGATTAGCTTAAGGTCAGTTCTAGTACTTTATTTTTAAAGTATTCTAGTTAATTTAATTGGATCATAAAAAAAATGAAGAGAAAGAATTATAAATCAAATACAGTGGGGGTTTATATAAAGAATTTCAAATTATTTAAATAATAAGAGAAGAATTAATTTATTCGTTAAAAGAAAGAGAAATGAGATTTTTTACTATATTACTTGCTAATATATGTACTTACATACTTGTATTTAGGCAACTTAACAAATTTCAATTATAGAAAGAGATAGAAATTTCAATATATGTGATTGCTTTTCAATCTAATTTTTCTAAAGATTTATTTTTCCATCTTACTCGTACTTCTAATTTTACTTTAATTTAAATAATATTTTTGGACGGAAAACTAAAATAGATGAGGTGCTCTTCAATATTTAAAGAAAAATTTTTTTGCAGTCTTTAAATTGATCTAATAAGTTTAAACTTATTGAATGTTATAAAATTAGTGTTTATTAGTCTTATTCTTATAAAATTAGTGCTAACTATAGTTTTATTCTATCTGTATATATGTATATGTCCGTTCGTCTCTTGCTTATAAATTTTTACACTCATATAAATGAAAAACACTAAAATTTTTTAATTTTTTAAAACTAAATGTTTTTTTTTTAATGTGAATCTAATTATTTCTCTATAGAAGTGAGCTTTTATCTATTTGCCTCTTTCAGTCTAATTGATATTCTATCAAAGTCCCAAATTTCTCATTTTTGGGGAATATATGCTGTTGCGACTGTTTACCTTGTTTAGGAATTTGAAATTAACCATTAATTTAACGAAAAAGAAAAAAAAAACTGATTAACTTATTTGGAATTAACCGTTTGACTTCTAAACGTCATTTTTAAAATTAACATAATTTTCCTTTTATAAGGTAAATTGGAGAAATAATCTTAAATGATAACGAAATGAATGATTTTCATTTTTATCACATTTATAATTATTAATTTATTTAAAGGAAATTTCTTTATACACAAATTTTTTTCTATACGTAATTTATTTCTATGGGAACGACAATTGCTTCTAAATTCTGCAAACGCAGAGAAGTTCTTCTGCGATACTGGATAATTAAACATTACAAAAACAAACTGGGCCTTCAAAAAATGTAAATAATCAACTTAACTTAGTTACAAAGCTGTCGAAATCGAACAATATTTTTTTCAGTTTTTCCTTATCCTAAATGTATGCAATTACTTAGAATATTAGTGAAAGTAATTTAAATAATTTGTAGTAGAGTTTTTTTTTACAAAGGGTACTTTCGACTGTTCAAAGAACAAGAGCTGCTTCACATAATATTTGCTCTTATATTTATCATCCATTTAAATTATTTTCATTGTTAAATACTTAAAATTAATTTTCTATTTCAAAACAAATCTACTTAGATGTCTCAGGTTTTATTTTAATAATTTTATTGTTTTTCGTTATTAATTTTTATGAATGAAAATGATTAAAATAGATTAAAATCACCAACTAACATTATTTTTGTAAAATACTATGAGTAATAAAAAAAAAATTATTTGAACTGATAACTGTGATAATAAAATAAGTATGTGTTTATAAATTATAGTACTTCAAATCGCAACAATGATTTAATTTTAATGATTTTGCTTAAGCAAAAAAAAAAAAACAAAAAAAGCACTTCAGTATTTTATAAAAATACAATCAAAACTCAAAACGTATTTTATTGTTCTTATTTGATAAGAAAAAATGATAAGTCAATTAGTTTGGTAAAAATCCTTTACCCAATTAATAAGTAATTGTTTGTAAGTATTTGTGCGTGTTTGAAGTTGAACTAAACGAATTAAAAGATTATTTAATTATTTAATTTTTAACTTATTCATAAATTATACAGAAGAGGCTTCTCTTTTAAATTTTAATGTTACTTTAAAAGTGTGAAGACAAAAAAAAATTTAAATTCAACAATACAAAAAGTGTTGGGTGATAATTAAGTTAAAAATTTATATTATTTGAGATAACTAGTATATTAGTATACTAGTTTATTTAGTTACTAAATAGTTTACACATTAAAAATAATTTAACATCAAATAATTATTTTCAATTAATTAATTTTAAATTTACATATCTAATTAAATATCATGAATTTAGAGACTCTTAATATGTAGGTTAATATTTAGTAA